CTGGTTATGGTGAATTGGTCAAGTCCTTCAGCATTTCGGCCATTGTAAGTCATTATCAGTTCCAATGTGCTCTGCCTGCTTGATATCTCAAAGACAAGTTAGTGATTTAATTTGAATCTTACCAATAATCTTTTATTGACATTAAGCTTCTGTCCAAAACTTTGATTCAAACTACTGAATCAGCTCATGGTGGAGAAAATTAAAGTCTTAAGCACTCGTCCTATAATGTTTGTACATCTAGGAAGTGTACCTTAAGCAAATGGACCATAGATATGTGCTGAAGCTAGGGAAATATCTTTATTCCATTGTGTGGAATCAGAAAGCATATGCTGCTGCTGCTATATATATGGTCCACTGCATTGAAAATCTGTCCCATTTTCATCTTCAATTTGCTGTATTTGTGCTCAGAAATTTAATGCTCTGCATATTCAATTCAGAGACGTCCCCCTTGTTTAGTCTTTTTGGACGAAATGACAAAGCAAACATTATCCAAATCAAGTTGGCCTATCTTTGGATTCCTTTACCTTCTATTTGTCTTCTCTTGTTTGTTTCGAAAATGACTTTTAGATTGGGTTAAAAAAACCAAAAACCAAAGAAGAAAGAAAGCGACTTAAAGCAATTTGCAATAATTCTCTCAACATTATCTAAATTAAATTGAGACAAAAGTGTCAACAAGTTGACAACTATTTATCGTTTTTTTATAATTGAGATAAAAGGGATTTAAATTTTACTCTTTTAAATAAAAAAATTATACACTTAATTTTTCTTTTTATCTATTTATGATGAGTTTTTTTTATTCAATTTTCTCAAAATAAAATTCCAAAGCAAATCCAAAACAATAGAATTTCAAAGGTGTCAACCTCTTTCTTCTAAATTGAAATTCACTTCTTTCAAATAAACTAACTTTGTACCTTTGCTTTGTGTCGGTAACATGTTGTCCTTTTGTAATCATGAACAAAGACACTTTTTGAAGGATAATTGCAAAAAAATATTGAATGCATTTTAAAAATAATTGCTAGATTCATAGAAGGATAAGAAGATTCTTTTTAAAACTAATGAATTCATCAAAAATTCTTAAAAGATAAAGAGTAAAACTGATAAAATCCTTCTAGAAACCAATGAATACATGCATAACCCCCTTTATATTTTCTTTCAAGCCTAAACCCAAAGCTTAAAAGTCTCTCCAAATTCACCTCAATCGACAGCTCAAAACCTTGAACAAAACCCAATCAACCGACTGGCAAACATAGGAAATAAAAACATGGCTCAATATATGATATTGAAATATAAATAAAAAGTATACAACAATGTGACAACTCTTTAACTTGACAGGTAGCAAAATGAAGAAAACCCTTTAGGACTTTCTTTTAAATGTATAATAAATTTTTTAAAGAATTCTTCATCGTAAACTTAATTAAAAGATAAAAACACTTCAAAAACACAACTATTTAAATAATATTTGATATCATTTTCAAGATCATTGCGACAATCTAATTAATCAATCACCATAACATTTTTATTACTTAATAATTTTATATAAAAATTAGATCAGCTCAAGACAATGATCTAATCACTCTCAATAATGTAAAATCTTAATCGTAACATTATCGAATTCTTAACAAACATGATGATATGATCCGATCTAGTCAAGTGCATATATCTTGTGATTATGGTAGGGAGGAATCTTAGCATTTGATCTCAAAACTCTTTAACCTTGGAAGAAGCCATAAGCCCTTTTATTATTTTAAAACGAAGGTCGCAACTAAGACCTCAACAATATTCGGCACAAGGACATTGTGAAACAAAGCTTTCTAAACTATGAAAAAAGGAAAAAAAATATATATATTCTAATTGGTCTTAATCTGGTTTATCCATAGCACTTACATGTCAGTGCCCCGTACAGTGGCGCAGGCGTGGCTTGCTAACCTTTTGGCTTGGCCCAGAAATAATTGCAGCACAGCTAAGCTGATGCCATAGACTTTCCAAAGCCACTAGAAAAGACAGAAAGTCAGTGCTGTCCTGGTCGTATCTGGTTCATTCTTGTTCCCTTGTTTTTCAATTAAATAGAGTCCAAAATGGCTGAGATCAAAGTTGGTTGCTTGTTACGCAAATGATAATCGAGGGTGTGAAGCTAACTCTTTAAACTTTGTTTATTTGGTATAGTAATAATTCTTATGATTTTGACATTCAAATAGATAAATATATGTTTGAAACAATTTGAACAGATTACATGCACGTAAACTGGGTGGCAAATCAAATCAAATCAAATTGGCAGAAACTTTTCTTAGCGTCTCATCCTTGGCTTAATTTTTTATCTTGGAGAGAATTTGTGATTGCTACCCTGCTTTGATACTAGCAATCACACACTCTTTTCACGATTATTAAATCGCCAAGTGCACATAGTTTCTGAGACAGAAAATGACAGCATGAGGCCCATTCCAGAGTCCAGATTCTAGATATTGGTCAAACAAACTTTAATTCGTTTGGCAGCCACCATCTTTATTAAATGGAACACCCGCTTACAGATAATGTATGGGTTGCATTTGAATTTACTCTAAATATTCAATTCGGTGCAATCATATCAGACCTCTAGCTTTGACTGTTTACAAAAATTTCAGTCGGTGCTGCTGTTTTGCAGGGTAAATGTAATTCAATTGAAGCAGCATTGTTTGGCTGAACCTGGCTGAAGATTTCCCCAACTTGCAAAAATAGGAGTCTCATTCTTGACAAGCATTGCCTGTTTTGTTGTATTTATGGTAATAAGGTCAAACATGGTGGATCCGACATGATAGACATCGTCTAGTGGAAGGAAAAGATTTTTTATTTTCTAACGATTTTTAATACCCAAAGTACCTTGAAGGATTCCTTATAAATATAGACCTGCCTGGTAGCCTCAGCTCCACAAGTTGCCACAGCTAAGGAATTTTAAAACCCAAAAATGTCTCTTTCCCCTTCTCTCACCATGTCATTGCTGTCCTTCTCCATCTTGTTGCTCTTTTCTTTCAATGCCAGAGCCGCTGTTCCTCCCTCGGCAACATTTAAGTTTGTCAACCAAGGTGAATTTGGGCCATTTGTTGTTGAATATGATGGAAATTACCGTGTCTTAAGCATAGCTAACGCCCCATTCCAACTTGCCTTTTATAACACCACCCCTAATGCCTTCACCCTTGCGTTACGCATGGCTACCACGCGTTCGGAATCACTATTCCGTTGGGTTTGGGAAGCCAACCGGGGGAACCCGGTCCGCGAGAACGCCACCTTCTCTCTGGGGACGGACGGAAATCTTGTGTTGGCGGATGCAGATGGCCGGATTGCTTGGCAGAGTAACACTGCCAACAAAGGTGTGGCAGGCTTCAAACTGTTGCCAAATGGTAACATGGTGCTACATGACTCCAAGGGCAAGTTCATTTGGCAAAGTTTTGATCATCCAACGGATACCCTCTTGGTGGGTCAATCTCTTAGGATAGGAGGCGCCACCAAGCTTGTGAGCCGGGCTTCTGCCCAGAACAATGTCAATGGCGCTTACAGCTTGGTGATGGAGCCCAAAGGATTGGTTTTGCAGTATAAGGGCATGAACTCCCCTAAGCCTCTTGTCTACTTCAAATCATCTGTTTGGCCTAGTACCCAAGATGGTACTTTACAGTCTGTGACACTAAATGTTGAACCAGACTCTGCCAGTGATGGTTCTGCCTATGATGTTTTGCTAGATTACACTGTGGCTAACTCCTCCTTCGGGACCGGGAATCTCATTTTGACAAGGCCGAAATACAACAGCACGTTATCAATTCTTCGACTCGGGGTGGACGGAAACCTTAGGGTCTTTACCTACTTTGACAAGGTTGATTCAAGAGCATGGGAAGAGACATTCACTCTCTTCTCTAGGGACTCAATATGGGGTACAGAATGTGAATTGCCTGAGAGGTGTGGTAACTTTGGGCTTTGTGAGGAGAATCAATGTGTTGCTTGCCCATCACCGAATGGATTATTAGGTTGGAACAAGAATTGTCAGCCGAAACTGACCTCTTGCAGGCCTAATGATTTCACCTACTACAAGATTGATGGAGTTAACCATTTCATGAGCCAGTACAATGAAGGAGAAGGGCCCATGAAGGAGAGTGATTGTGGGAGGAAATGTTCCTCGGATTGCAAGTGTTTGGGCTACTTTTACCACAGGGAAACATCCAAATGTTGGATTGCTAATGAGCTGAAAACCCTGGCTGCAACCTCTAACTCGTCCCATGTTGGTTACATCAAGACACCCAAGAAGTGATGAATTTTAAGAGCCAAGCAAAGTAAAATGATAAAGATGAAGTTTGCACTTTGTTGTTGTCACTTGTAGCTCCCTTTTTCCCTCTTGTATTTGCCTGTTTTTGTGCTTTTCTGTTTGCTAATAAACAATTGTATGTTTGAACCACCCCAAAAGAAGAAGTGTTTATGGAAAGAGTTCATGTTTCTTGGAATTTTGTCAGATTTAATATAATTTTATGATACTTAAGTTTGACCATTACAAATCTTATGTAAGATCTAAATGTAATCTGGATAAAATATACTTGAAATCATGTAATAAAGTTTTTATTTTCCTCTATCTATCTATCTAGAGTCCACCTACAAAAGAACACAAGGAATTCATGGACAGATTTTCATTTCATTTCTTCAATCTATAAGTATCTCATTTGTAGTCAATAAACTGAATTTGACAAGAGGAAGTATTTGTTGCTCTTTGGAGTTCTGCTGCTTTTTATTATAGTCTATAAAGGAACAAAGATGAATAGAAAGGGGAATTTAAAAAAATTTGGACATCGACTCTGTACTAGAATAGTAAGAACCACTAAACCAAATCCAAGTTGTTACAAGTAGAGACAAAACTTACATTGATGTCAATGCCACTACAATAAGATTAACAGTTTTTATAAAACCAGGATAGATTCTCGGAAGCTATTTGTACCTCCAGTTGTAAATCATCTCTGAAACTTTAGGTGATTAAATTAGAACTTCCTGTTTGACATCTTCTGATTTCTGTTGTATTAGAATAAAAACCATTAGGAAGCTACTATACGGAGCTGCCAAATCCTAAAAACTGATCAACAAGTTTCACGACATAGTTGGCCAAGCTGTCTGCAGCTTCTTGTGTGGATGCCTCTGCATATACACGAACGACATCCTCCGTACCTGATGGTCGTATGAAACACCGGCCTCTAGGGTACTTTGCTGCATTGTTTTTAAAAATTAAAAAAGAAATAGTCATATATACATGTGGCCTCAAAACGATTTAAGAGAAAATTATGCCCTTAGGTAAGACATTCGTCGAATAATATAACAATAAAAAAATACTAATACGACACAGAGACTATGCAGAAAACCATGCATTAGCAAAAGATAAATGACAAAAAGCTACCAGTTTCAGCATCAACGGCTTCTTGAATTCCAGGGGGGCTCACGGCCACAGTTTCTGCATTTGTTGTGACAATAGCTGTTCTGTCAACAACTTTGACCTGACACAACCAATGGAAGCATTAATTAGCACAAGCATTGCTAAAGGAAGGCAAACTATAGAAAAGTTTACAGACAAAAATAACATAAGGAGAACCCAGCATGCAGAAATCAGCTGTATCCAAGATTTTTTTTTATTTTGATGCAATAAATCCAAGATATTTAAGTGAATAATACACTAGCCAAACTTTATTAGTTTCGGTGAAAAGTCATGTCAAACCTCAGTCTTTATCTCCATTACTTAGCTAAACTGCTAATCTCAAGGATCATATGCAGCATTTTCAATCTTCACAGACATGATCATCTTTTCTCCCTAGTACAGGAAAAATAAAATGGCATCTACTTCTTCAACCAACTTCAAAAGAAACATGCCAAACAAAACTATTAACAATTTGGCAAGTCTCCTAGGTGTAAGGTGCAAAAGAGCCTCATTTAAAACCTTCCACAATTCTAGTTTACATGAAATTTGTTAGGAAGGCAGATAAGGTTCCTGCTACAGATGAGAAAGACTTTTTCTTTATTCTTCTCCAAGAGTAATCAAGAAAACTGACCTTAAGCTGTCGACTAGGTAGATCCTGGTAAAGTTCATTCCATTTATGTATGGACCAATCCATTTGTTGCAAAATTGCCTCAACCAAGAGCAAGCAACTCAAAGCATCTCCAATAGCTTGGTTGATCAACTTACTGACTGATAGTAGTCTTAAAGCAGCTTTCTGCTGTTCGGATCCTGCAAAAAAATGTCCTAATACTCAATAAACTATCATGCATGGTTCTTGGAAGGAAAAAGACTGCATCAGAAATAACCTTCTGACACCAAAGCAAGCTCATTGTTCCTAGCCTCTAACCAAGATAAGAAAGATTCTGAGAACAAGATAGTGCCATGACCATTGGCCTCAAAATAGATTCCAATATCAAACTGAGCAGCTTTCTCATGTAAGTGTTTCACCCCCGTTGGAGTAAAAATGACTTCTAAACCCAACTGTTTGAGGTAATCGGTTGATGCTCCATTTGCATAAGCTGTCTGAACAACACCAAGATGAGCTTGAAAATTATTATTTGATTTTTGATTCCCCTCCTTGATCAGAATATTTAGCTGCTCCTTGATGAATAAAGCAAACAAGGATAATATTTTGTCCCCATCAACAAGATCAATTTTGCTGCTACTATTAGATGGCACTGAAAAATACACAAGGCGATCAGCATCTCCATCCAAACTTGCACACCTGATAATAAAAAGCAGTTATTCTCCTCCTCCCACCATAAACAAAACTTTCATAATATGACCAGATTTTAACATACATAACATATACCAAAGCAAGAATCACACTGAAAACACTGTCAACAATCATTATGTATCAAGCAGCCAAACTAGCTTTATACTACTTAGCCAATGATCAACTGCCTAATAAGTAATCACTTCATTAAGCAGCGCTAATTTGCCACTTATCAAACTATTGAAAAAGCGCCAATGATGATGACATGAAATATCACACAAACTAATTATCGAAAGAACTGAATATGACTTAAAATTTGTTCCATGTTTAGTTGTTATCTTTTTTACCATATGTACTTGCCAGAATAGAGTTGCAATAAACATGCACTTTTAATATTTGATCAATAATTTAGAAAGATGGAAGAATAATAAGCTTCTAATCAGTTAACAACTGTGATTATTTACTCCAAAAAATGAAGAGATAGCTCACCTTATTCCAACATCATTGGAACCAAATCCACGTGGAACAACCTTCTCTTTCTGTACATAATCAGCACCAACCCCATCATTTAGTAAACCTCCATCTTCACCAGAATTACGAACCTCAATAACTAAATCGGTCAACATGTTTTTCAAGACTGCAAGTTTCTCTCCACCCACACCATCAGCCCCATCAACCACCACTCTATTATCCAGCTTGTTGGCCTTTGTTCCATTTGGGATCAAGTCTATCAAGCACCTAAAGAATGGTGTAATATTATAATTTTAAATTATATAAATCGCTAAAATGATATTTAAGCCTCTAACTAACCTGAATGAGCTCGAAATCTGTTCAAAGTAGGCAGGTTCAGTCGCTTTCATGCCTTTATTCCCAGCACGAACCATCCAATGCAGCTGTGGGGTTGTTAAAATCCCCAAGTCAAGTGCAATAGCTCCAAAAATTGAACTTATTCCCTTCAATTAAATGGATTAGATATTAGCAAATCATAGATATATTTACCATCAGAGAGAAAATCATTGAAGTTTCAGCAAAAATAATAGTGATTGAAAGAAGGCATACTTGCTTTGCAGCTTCCAGGAGAGATTCCCCACTAGGTCGTGTGTCTCTTCCCAATAATATCTCTGCTGATTGCGCCCCATCAAATGGGATTTTTTCCTTCTCCACACACTCTCTTATAATCTGTTTTAAGCAGCATCTTATAATAAGTCTAATATGCACCCCCTATACTCAATTAAAAATCCTGGGAGAAATTTGAAATTCTCTCGTCACACTCCGTTCCCTTACCCTCAGAATTTCCTCCATTTATTTAAATAGACAACAAACACTAGAATTAGAAGAAAAACAAGAAGTAGATACAATTTTTAGACTTTATGAGCTTAAACAAAACTGGTACACCTCCAGTTCACTATTTCCCATCAAACAAACATAAAATATAGCATCAAAAATGATTGTTCTTTAGCCAATGAGACCTTATCTTAATGGTAAAGGGAAGGTCCTTGAAACATTAGGTCTTAAGTCCAAGTCCCACCTTGCTAGGGTTTGCTCTAACTTCAAATTGGATTCTCTCAGGCTTTATGCTGGATTTTTAGATTATGTTAGTTGGTTTTCATCTTCCGCAAGGTCTTGTTTGGTTAATTACATTGGTAAGGTCGAGTAGCATTCTCGTCAGGGAAAAAAAATTATTGCTTCTCAAGTATGAAACACCCAACAAAAACCATCAACCAAGACGGCATAAAAAAAATTAAAATGCACCAATCCCCACCCCCTTTCATCAATAACTTCAACAAAATAATTACATAACAAATAAAACCCACATCCAAAAACATAATAAGTTGCTCACTGAGAGAAGAGTTTCAGGGCTTTGGGCATTGACAAGTTGATCAGCAAAAGGCTCCCATTCTTGAGCAAGCATCCCGCCACTTGGGTCAACAATTTTCACTCCATTGTCAGTAACCT